TTTGTAAAATTCTTTTTCAAACCCAGTGTCACTTGTAAGCCGCTCCGAAAACAAAAACTCATGGTTCATACGGGCTAAGGCTTAATTGACCAACTAGAGTCATCAAAGTAAGTTATTAAATAGTTATTAGATTATAAATTGACGTTTTTCAAAGACCTGCCCTCGGAGACTTAAGACTTTACCTACAGTATAATCGGGGTATTTTAAGCAAGCGAGAATTCATTTTTAGGTGATTTTAATGAAATTTAAGAGTCAATTAAACAATGCAGCATGGGATTCTAGGGGGTGTTCTTGCTATATCTACCTACCCGGACAAGTGAAAATGCCTTCCCTATGTATGGTTTTTAAAATGGAAGTCATTGCTGTGATTACTGCGTGAACATGACAATTAAACTATACCAGTTCTCTACACTTACATATTCTTAGCTTTTTCACTCTCTTTGGGACCTCCGACGATCTACGTCATTTTCGACAAAAAATTTTGTATTGAACTGCATCTTATTTTGAAATGATCTGTTGCAAGCTTTGTTTGTGGAATTTATAATTGGAAAGTAGCCGTGAATACTGCTATTTCTAGAATTCGCAAATTTTTACCGTCCGCTACTAATCCAAACAATGAAAAAACACATTTACGCTGTAGGGGAATTAGTCTCTGGGTTACCTTTATCTTTAAACTGAAGTGATACCTGCAGTAGTTGTGCATAAATTTTGTAGAAATCCTCAGTGCCTTAAAAGCATAATTAAAGTGAAACTTTTTGGTATTTTTTATATGGAATTTTAGCTTTTATTCTCCTACATACGCAAAAACAATACGTGAAGCATACCTATAATGAAAAGTCTTTGAAGCTGTTATCTGACGTCAATTTTGTTAAATTCTGATATCACGCACAAAGTGTCTTCAAATGTTGATGTTTGCTTTCAGCATCCTTGAAGAATCGGTTAAAAGTGGGAGTATTTAAACTTGTGAATAGCAAATATTACATTTCTGTTTCTTGAGGATTACGGTAGGAAACATGGCTATAGCAATGCGTTTTTTCAAAGACAGTGCAAGGATACAGTAGATACTGTAACGCTGGGTCATTCGATAGATTTGCTGTTTTTCGCTCGTGAGTTCGCCAGAAACCAAATTTTTGGCTTCTACATATTTGCTGTTAGTAGAGTTCTTGCATTGCAGATAGTTTCTTATCCTATGCTTTTTGACTTTTTGACTTACCAAGGATGAAATTTTAGTACTACAATATCTAGAAACTCCTACGATGTCACTTTTTCTAATCACTGCTAGAACGCAGGCTCCAAATCGCTTAAAAAATTGGAAACCATCCTTTTCCAGCCGCATGTCAACATACATTTTTTTTTCAAATCTGACATTTTTGATTATTTAATGTAGACAAGTAGGAAAACATCCAAATCTTTTAAAGAAGTTATCCCATCCGGGCACAGTCTTATACTGGTCTATGTTTTTGCACTATGTACCTTGTACTCGGTTGGCCGCAGATTTGCCATTTTCAGAGTCTTGGCTTATCTGGTCGTTTTATGTTTATATAGATTGTGCTTATGCCACACTGTATGCAGGCGAGGTCCCCCAATTGCAGCCTATTGTTACTAGATGCGTACTTTTCAAGAAAAAAAGCAGAATTTAG